TGAGTGGCCATAATCAAAAACATGTTTTTCATTCATCCTGGTGACATCATTACTTGATACTGTGTCTCACCATACCGCTAAAATGTGAGAAAACTGAATCAAAAAAGGATCAGCATAACATTTCTTGATGGCCCAGTGAAACGTTTTGCATCACATGGTATTTGGTATTTATTGCTAAAGAAAATAGTGCTGGGTGGTGAGTCAGAGCTATTGTGTCCGTGTGTGTGTGTGTGTGTGTGTGTGTGTGTGTGTGTGTGTGTGTGTTTCTCTCTGTCACACACACAGACTTACATTAGAAGAAAGAAAGGCCATGGTAATTGAAGGATTCACTGACAGGTTATACTAAAATATCATAAAACAAATGTTTCTCTTTGCATTATTTTTATAATACCACGCCTCATTTATCCATCCATGTTGGCATTCAGCTTATTTCATCGGCTGTAGTGTAAAGCATGTGGAGAAGGAGACTCAAACACCTCCACTTCTCAATTTTTCTTGTCTAGAAGGGGATTCCTATGTATCTAGATCGTAAATTTCATGTTACCTATAAACTAGAAAAAGCTACCACAACAACTTATGGGAAAATAGGGACTAGACAATGTTTTCCAAGCATTACACTCTTTTTAACTACCAAAAAGAAATCAGCAGATAATTATAGACTTGACAGTGTAAGTATTAGGCGTTGAAAATCCAAGTAGTACTGTGTGGTCAAAGAACTAAAAAAGGAATCGTTCTAATGAAAACTTCCTATACAATAGCTACTAATTATAATTAGTGTCTTATTCTAATTAGAGATACCTGCACATCAGAACTAATTATGAAGAGACATATATTTGGTCCTTTTCTGATATGGTGGCACTTGAATAGCAAATTCATCCTTTAAGAGATGAATAGCTAAAGATAAAAACGTTTTGACCATTTGAAGCATTCATTTCATCTGCTAAAACTGGATGACACTGTGGACAATTCTCAAACATTTGTTTATTAGGCAGAATGAATTATTTGGAAGAACTGACAACTTGGTTAGCAGTGCTCTCCAGGAAATAAACCTGACCTTTATTAAAATGTTTAGAAAATTATCTTTAATATTATTTAATTATCTTTAATATTATTTCTCTAGGCAAACTAGTGGGTTATCTGCTTTTATTGCCTAATAAAGGAGTGTTTGTGAGAAGTCTGCATGATGCAACTGAGTTTTATCAGGTGAAATGAATGTTTCAAGATAAGAAAATTAATTCTGAAGGTGATAAAATAATATGAAATAAGCACTGTCCCGTCCAATAACTATATGGAGTAATATAAACGAATCCCCAACTATACTTAGACAAAACCATCTGTCATTTATGGCGCACGTCAAGTATTTATTTCCTACTTGTTTTATCTTCAGAATTCGTTTTCTTATCGGGCAAAAAAATTATAGTTATTTTTCTAGGCCAAAACGTAAATAAACATGTATTGCTGAAATAAACCTTTAGCTGGTTCTTGGGTATCAAATTCAGTCATTTAAAAATAATATATCGCTAAGTTTACAGAACTATCTTTCTGTTCTTGTAACCTGTGCAAACTGATTCTAATACAAAATTAAAATCTCAGCTAACACTTTGTATGAATATGTTTTTCTTTTGAGTACAGTTCTACAAAAAGAGTTAAGCCGAAACAATTTTAAGTAGTTACCCATGATGTTCTAGTTCGGAGAGGAGGGAGGTCTACTTGAATTCTGAGTATGAACGATTTTCACCACAACATTGCTTTAAATATCAATTGGCTTTAAAGTTAACTTTTTCCTCTTTTAGGGGCACATACTATGCTATTCTAGGTCACTACCGACTAATAGGATTAAGTGACCTTGTGTCCCCACATCAAAAACAGTCACATAGATGTAAATATTCTAAGTACCATTTCAGCCTATAGGGAAGGATGCTTCCTTCAGATGAGGTTGGAATGTGTAAGCAAGCAGAACAGACCCCTAGTTTAGTGCTCATAACATTCGACAGAAACTTAGCGTGGGATATTAGGCCTTACCTTCCAGATAAAAGAGTCCTTAATAGTTATAGCCTTTAGCATTGGATGTAGGTACGTCACAAGGACAAAAATATTTTTCAGAACTGGCGCATGCACTTTAGGGATATCTGTGTGAATAGAGATGAAGTGATGCAGTCTATCTAAATAGCCTGTGATTTTTTTTTGGGGGGGGGGGAGTTAATCTTACAGATGGGTGCTGCTGCACCTCCTTTCCTTCCCCCCATGATTCTTTTTCAAACAGCATTACTACATTTCAGTAAAGGAGCTCATGTGTATTTGTTGATAAAAAAAATAGTTGCATACGAATTATATTGCTGACAACCAGTAGCAAATGAAAACTTCATTCTTATGTTTTGTAACCATACTGGTTTGTTTCAAAGTCGTAAGTTCCGCGTTTCATTTAGTTTAAAACTGCTAAATTAATGGGAGATTAAAAATGGGGCTCATGCATTTTAATAAGCTGAACTTTTCAAAATGTTCCTAACTAAAATGTACAAATAAAAAAACCCATATTCACTCTGATGCATGTTCCAAAAAGTTGAACATTCTTGCCATCAAAATATTTGGAAATGCAAATGGCAAGTGGTAAATCAATGTGCAGAAGCTCTTAGCAATATTCATATTGAACCTCACTGTATTTTATGGAAGGAAAATACAAGCAAGAATGCAGATATCAACTCACTTTATAAACTGCAGCTGGGACAATATTCTATTCTAGAAGACAGCTTTATCACACGTCTCCAAATAATAAAGTAGTCTTTCAAACAAAAGCGTACACATCAGGTGGCATTTTCTTAATGAATGATGATGTCTGATAAATATTAACAATGAGTATTTTCTGCAGCTATTCCTCCTCCCTTCAGTCTAATCGTACTTATATGGGATGGCGAGTTCTAAGGTTCTGAACATCAAATAGACAGTTTTCTCATTTTAAAAAGTTGTAACATGCACTCCAACAACTCGAGCCCAGATTAACAAGAAGTCTCACCTTTATGAGACTTAAGGTGGATACCTTGAACTTTGGCCTCTAACGATAAAATTCAAATGGAAATTGTCAGTTCTAATTGCAACATTTTAGGTTTTGTGTTGTTTCTTCCCTTTTAGGTAAAAAAAGCTCAACGTATTCAGAATTAACGTCAGTGCATAGATCGAAAAATATATTAGTTTAAAAAAAACATAGCACACAGCATATAATCTGTGTCACCGATGTTTTTCTCGTGTGCACTGTTGCATTCTCCCATAATACATGTACAATTTATTTATACTTCCAATCATTAATATTTGGAACGTATTTTACTTCAGTCCTTTCAATATTTCTGTACTAGAAGTACACTGATGTTGCGGTTAAAACAGTTATATTTTCTACCCCATCGTATAAGAATCTGTTGATTGCCTTGACCACAAGATTTGTTTTCTGACCTTTTGGTAGATTTAAAAAAAAATCTGTCTGTATTCTACATGTTAAATGCTCGTCTCTTTAACTAGCAATCATCAGACATTAATTTATACAGCTTTTACAAATACCTAAGCTATTTAAAATGCTGAACTGGGTTGTGTGTGGCAGGGAACATCTATCTATTGAATAGGCAGTGTCACACGGTAGCATGCTCTCTTGTCAAGGCTGATTGTGTTTTAGGCAAACATTTGAGCAAATATAAAGGCAAAGGTCAAGTACTGTTCAGTTGCAGTGTGTGCTAATTCACCTAGCTAACCAATGGGGCAAAAGTTGCATTTTATGCTAGTACTGCAGACCAAACCATTGAGAGACGCATTATTATCAGTGAGGTCGCCTGTGATAAATTCCACAGGAGTTCCTACGAACTACAGTTTGAAAGAGAAAGTTCCTCCAGGATGGAGTCCTGCGCCGGAGAGTTTAGGTTGTCACGTGTTCGTTACACTTTACTCTTGACTAGAAAGGACCTTGCAGCAGAATGGTATATTTCTTTACTTTGCCTTTCCTCCAAATAAATTAGACTAAATTGACCACTACCGGGTGTTAAATGTGTGAGGCACTGATATCAGCGTATCCGCATGCAATTACGCAGATGCCGAGTCCTAGCAAGAATGTGCATTTTGACTCTGTATTGAACTTGTGTGTGTCTGTGCGCGCGCGCAGTGTGTGGCGTGTGCGTGTGCGTGTGTGTGAGCGAAAGAGACAGAGTTTCTTGCCCTCAGTACCCATGACTCTCCGCGGTGTTCAAGACTATAAATCGATATTTTTAATGTGAAATACTGGCATGTTTATTTGAGACTAATCTGCCCACATCATTTTCCAGCGACCCTCGTGGTTTTTATATGGAAAAATCATACCCCCGTGCAAGAAAATGCAGATGGATCCAAGTATTGGGTGGTGGTTGTCAAACTAACAACACAGACAGCTCTGTCTGTCTCCCTCCCTCGCCTCTCTCCCTCTCTCCCTCTAACCTTTCTTGTATCCTCAGTCCAGCCTCGAGGGCTCGCACTTTGAATCAATGGTCATTTTGTATGAACCAATGGCTGAGCTTCCATAAAGGCAACACGTACAGCAGTTTTCATAATACATCCGAGTTTCACAGCCGTGGTTTTAAGCAGCGCCAGGTACGGTGCTTGCACGTGCACGCATCATCATCCTCATCTTGTCAGTGAGGCTGCAGAAATGAGTCCCGCTAACTATGACCATTAACCCACCCGAAGACTAGTGCGATCATTATGTGTTGCCTTGTGCTAGACAGTGCACATCACACCACTCGGCAATCCCAGCTTCTAGGGAGTCACTGGTGCATGGATTTCGAGTGTAAATAAACTTGATTTTTAACACAACTCCAAATGCAACAGAAACAATGACAATTCGGTTATCAACATCGTCTGTAGCACGGAATTAGTTTTTGTTCTTTCTGAAATTATATTAAAGCCACAAAAGTACACTTTCTGCCCAGTTTAGACTTTCAACGCCTCCCCAGCACAAACTAATAGAACACGCTTAAAAAAAGTAAACTTACCTCAGCCTGCCAACATATTACATTTGGTGCGATTCATCTTGAGTGCTGTGAAAATTTGCTTCTTCAAGACGCTACATTCAACACGGTGGATACAGTAAAAGATGGGGGGGGGGGGAAAAGAAAAGAAAAAACAAAAAACAAAGAAAAACAAAGGGCGGGAGATTGTCATGTCGTTTTAAAAGTATAATCTGCCTCAAAATTCTCCTATTTCTTTACAACTCACTGACTATGGATCTTTAAACACCACCTGGGCAGTTTCACAATCTGTAAAGTTTGTGTGCGTGTGTGTGTATATGCGGGGTGTGTGTGTGTGTGTGTGCAGAAGTTGTTTAAAAAGCATCGTTGTCATTCGGAGGTATAAAAGTGATGCCTGATCCTTGGTGTGGTGTTTTTAATATGTACCTCTCATTTCAGTTAACTTTTTAAAGATGGGGAAAGCTGGAAGCTTTAGTTTTCGAGAGACTTTTCTCGTTATTCATCTGTGTAGTCGCCTTAGCTGCACAAAAGCGTATCAGCTGCGTTATGAAAAATGGCCTAAGCCCAGAGAATGTCACAGTGGTCGACTTATTATTTTAGCCCTTCTTAAAAAAAACTCGGGGAAAGTTTGCTTTTGATGAATTCAATAAAAGCGGAGCTGCAACGGAAGAGATTTTAAGCTAAAATCATACAGCATGGGGGCAAAGCTTAAAACAGCCAGATGGCCAAAGGTAGACTGACGCTCCCTGTTTCAAAACCAAGATATAGAATTACTCCAGTTGAGCTTCTTAGCTGTATTAATCCCGATCTATCTTTATTTTTCCCCAATTGAGGTGTTTTGCTTTTGGGGGCCGAGGGGGGGGAGGGAGCTAACAGTATCAACTTCTTTCCTGCCAAATCTAGAGGATCTATGAATTTGTAAAAATTCTATTTTGGTTGTGTGTGTGTGTGTTTATTTATTGGCTAGTTGGTTACAAGGTGTTGCTTTTAATTTACAATCCATTCACTTTCACTTCAAAAGAAAGCTTTCTTGATCAGTAATAAAGATGAAAATTTGAAAGAGACACACTAGGCAGAAGCTCAGAGCTTCCTTTTAACAATTTGTTTTTCAATAATTCTCTAGATTTCACAATAAAAATCAAGAGATGATTAAAAAAATAAAAGTAAACACTCCTTAAAAAGTGGACGTCACATTCTGTCCTTACTTGGGCTGGAACCGCATGGAATTCAGTGGAACTGCAAGTTCATGATTGACTTCAAGAAAGTTGTGCTGACTGTAAGTGAGGGCAGAGTTTTCTCTCCTTGGGCTTTATCTAACTATGTAACCTGCTTTGATAACAGAGTAAAGCTTTTGATTTCCTTGGTCTCCTGGAAATGTCTGCATCCAGGCGTTAGTTTTTGCAGAAGTTGGGAGAGTAATTTACTAGATAACTAGCAAGGCAAACATAAAACAAAGCTGTTCACAGTTCTTTCTGTGTGATTTCTTTATGTCCATATTTATATTAAATGTATTCATGCTACTGAAAACAATGAGCAATGGTGCATAATTAGGGGAAGCCAAGTAAATCTGCAGCAGGGTAACGTGGTAGGGAAGGCTAATGACCTTCACCTCTGCCCTCTTCTTCAAATGATCCTACGCGGACGGAGCCTGCGAAACCCCACTCAATTGTTGCTGGTAATTTGGCACAATCTGACACTTTTAGCCACCGGGAAAGACAGATCAGAGCGAGGTGAAGATATGAAACACTTCTCCCCCAAGGTCAAGGACTAGGCATTGATAGGTCAATTTAGCTAAACATGTAGCGAGTCACCTACCGCACCTGAGGTTTCTGTTGAGAAGATTCTGACGGTGTCATGCTGTAGTGTTTAGCTGACTAAATATTTCATAAACGACACGTGTAGAAATGGGTCTGATGTGCATTTATGAGCACCCCAGCCTGCATACTGATACCTGTTAGTACAAATGTTCCATTCCTCAATTAAAGTTATACTCACCTGTTTCGAAACGAATACCTTGTTTTCATCTCCTCTACACTAATTCTTGTTTTGCAATATAAAGGACATGGCAGCCAATTAAATGATTTTTGCGGCCCATCAATTAATTCAGAGGATTTGTATTTCATAAAGAAAATCACGTTATTTGATTTCTTGACATTTCCACCTACCTCTTTAATGCCACCTAAAGAATTCTTGCCCCTCCGACAAAATTTGCAACACGTCTTTGTATTTTCGTTCAATCCAGGTTTTTGTTTGATTATATTTTGTCTGAGGTGCCTGTATGTGTCTGTGGGTGGGGCACACTGGGTTTTTTCTTTAAACATAAAGAATTTCGGTTTTCTTAGTTATTCATTAAATTGATTCATATTATGCGGTAAATATTATTGAAAAAGAAAAAAGTGAATTTGTATAGTCTGAATGTTTTCATGAAATTGGATCTTAGTTTTAATCTTACATTAAACATTGCGAATTGTGAAACGAAAACGAATAGGAGAAATCGGGGGGCAGGTTTTACAGATCAGCCTAAGTTATTGGAAAGTTGTGGAGGTCAATTTCTCACAGTTACACAATCAATACGCGAGGAAGAAATAACTCATTTTGCTCTAATGACTAATACTCGAACTAGGATGCGGGGCTTACTGCGTAAGAGTTGTAATGCTGATGAAAGCGATAATGAGGGTCCGAAAGAGGAGTCGTTGAGCAATGACTATTCGTGAGAGTGTTTCTGTTTTACTAGAAAGAGCTTTGAAATAAGAGTGAATAAAAGTGTCAGGCGAGAAGGAACAACACGTGAAAACTAAGTTGCGGTGTAATAAGAAAGCCCGGTCCCTTCCCTTCCTACCAGACTAACAGCCAGGTGAAATCCTGGAAACAAGGTGTCATTCCGATAATAAACTTGCACGTTCGCAGAGATTAATCTCATGTATACTTGGATCTGTTACACACACGTGTTCTTCTTTTATAGCCCAGCGCTGAGTCCTAATCAATTTATTTTTTATTGGGAAGCTGTCCATAATGATTTATCTTATTTAATGATCTGTCCGTAAGAAATTCAGTGCAAACTTCGTTAGCTATTCTATAACCCAGTCCAGAAACTTGCACGTTCGCAGAGATTAATCTCATGTATACTTGGATCTGTTACACACACGTGTTCTTCTTTTATAGCCCAGCGCTGAGTCCTAATCAATTTATTTTTTATTGGGAAGCTGTCCATAATGATTTATCTTATTTAATGATCTGTCCGTAAGAAATTCAGTGCAAACTTCGTTAGCTATTCTATAACCCAGTCCAGAAATATTTGGGGAAACCCTATCATCGAAGATGCAACGCTGCTGGGAATTCACTTGCTTTGCTAATGGACTATGTTTTCCAAAAGCAGATTCTATTTAATAAAAATGAATTAGCATGAACTGAGTGTTCCATTTTCAGGTTCTTACGAAACATCAGTTAGTTCAGATCACCAGAAGCTTAGAAAACTTCGAATAGGTAGTTAAGTGGATCCAAATGAATAGCTGTCTGTATTACAGAAAATACTATCTGTTTAATTTTGAATGGCATTCTATATAACGAGAGCAGTTTAGGTGAGTAAACTCTTTCTCTCTCTCTTATTATCGACTCCGAGACAGACAAATAACGTACATTTGCTAAGTAAAACGTCGACTTTATAGTTTGCATAATAAAGTCATTAGTTTAGCAATGCAGTGGAAGTAAAGAGAACAGGTTCTACCCCTCACTCCATCCCATACTACTTTGGTCAAGTAATATAACTTTTCTGAACATCAGTTTCAATGTCTGTAACACTGAGCTAATCATGCTACCAACGTGTGCATAGCTCTTTGAGATCATGTTCCCAGAGGTGCTGTATGAAGGCAAAGTGTCAATGCTGGATTTAAATCTGAATTTTTCACTCAGTCTTTTCTCGGTCAAAGATCCCTTTATAGTCAAAAGGAGTTTTATCCAAGTAACAAGAAAAGGACTGCAGAATAATAAACTATTTTAATTGTGGCACGAAGGAAATATTGCCTTCAGTATCTGATCCTTCACAAAATCATGTTCTTATATATAATTTCTTAATTTTTCCTGTCACTTTAACAATAGTATCTTCTAACTGACAATATCAGCAAGGGGCTTCTTCAACTTCTACAGTAAATCAGACGTATATATTATTTTAGGGGTGCATATAATGCTGCTATTTAGATTTAAAATCGTTTTCTTTTATGTCCTTAGTTACTTTAAAGTTCAGGAGTTACAGTATAGTTACAATATCAGTGTGGTTACGCTATCAAATTTGTTAATTCTACACCTTGTAGGGGGTCTGCTTACATGGGAACAATGGTAAATAGAATTTGATCAAATTCATGGTCATGTAAAGTAATAAAGGACTCCTTGATCAATATTTGTCTTCTTTGTTTAAAAGTATGTTTCAAACATCCTCGCTCATTTAGCACATTTAACCAACCTTCAGAGGGCTCGGGTGTCTTTTTTATGATTACTAGTTCTATGGACTCACCATAAGATTGTGCCCGATCCTATTGTCCTTATGGAGTCAAAACTTCCTAGAAGAGTTTTTTCTTTAGTCAGGACTGTAATAGATGGCGTCCAATGTAATGATCTTTTCAACAAAAATTGCATAGTGCCTGCTTGGGACTTATTGAGGGCGGGAAAGAAATCCAAGTTCCTCTACAGTTATGCGGAAGCTTAGACTTGTAGTTTTTATTCCCTATCCTGAAAATGTCAGTAGAATGCAACTTTAGTGCTCTGCAGTTAATATTTTTGTGCCCGAGGTCTATTACTAGCATTAATTGTCCCAATAAATTGAGATATAGTGTGCATAATGCAATGTAACAATATGGTTATATTCCACGTGTATGACTTAATTAAGCTATTTGCAGCCTGATGCTGCAAGTCAACGGGTGTGCAAGTGGATTAACAATGTACTGTTCTCGTATCCTCAGGATGGTGCATAATTACTTTACTGGCGGTACATATCAATTTTTGATGATTGCAGAACACATGCTCACTTTACCAACAAGCGCTTTAATAACTCTCCATTGTGTTTTTAAAAAGCGTTGTTTGGAAATATTTGGAAGTCTCTGCAAACAGCGTTAGAGGTTCTTAGTGTGTACTTCAGTGGGCTGGGGGGATACCGGATGTATGTTTCATACAGCGCATGGGCTACCACACGGTCCATGCCCCAGGCTCAGGGTTTGGAGTTCCCTGATGCCAACCAATTCCCACCTTCGACCTGCAGAGCTGCCAACTCTGCTTGAGGGAGAGGATTTGACCCCTCTCACTATTTTGACACTAGGTACGTCCACACAGAAGGATGTGATACACTTCCAGACCAATAGGGAATTAACATTTGAGTGGCGGAGGGAGCTTCACTTAATAGCACCGAGATCTAGACATCACACTAAGGAGAAGTCCAGAAGGCCCCCTTGATCTCTCTGGTGGGTGGATCCGGGGCCCCGGCACAGGCTCCAGAGATTTACAAACTCAGTAATGAAAATAGCAAACTCGATTCCGCCAACTCTGACCGGACTCTTTGACGAGGTGAATGTCTATGTTGAAAGTAAGATGGCGCCAGAACTGTGATTCCCACCGTACCGGCTAGCAATGCTTACCTCGGTTATTTACTGTTTGCATGAGAAGCCAAAGGTAGACAGCGATGATCGTGTGACCTTTCAGCAGTGAACTTAATTTGTCATCCATAATGTTATTGGAAAGATGAGTGGCCATCCATCAGAATGTATTCAAGTGCAGTAAACGTTTACATAGGGAAGCTTG